ATATGCTTTCCTAGACCTGTTGTCCACCCAAAAAACATTCTTCAATATGGAATCCTCATCCAAGTCAATACTAAAGTAGAAACATGAGCATTGAGCTTTCATATCCGAAAAGTAGGATTGTATTGCAGCCGCATCCCCTTCGCCAAGGCTTAGGCGTCTCGCTTGTTCAACATAGTTACGACAATCCTTCTCCACAAAAGTTACATTCTCATAGCGGCCAGCTTCAACAACTACAGAGTTAAAACTTTTATGTAATGGTATTCCTGCTATGTCATTCACTTCAAGTTTCCGTTTGACATGCGAACTTAGCACGCAATAACATTGATACAACCTCGACTTAGTGGGACTGGTCTTGTGGTTGTGGTCAAGATGAACATTATTAATTTTCCAATAACCATGTATATCCAATGATGTGGATATTCTAGCTTTACACCCTGTATTATTTATGGGTTGCGGCTTCATGGAAGTTCCTGTAGAACTGTTTTTTCGTCTTTCGCAACTACACGTGAATGTGACATATCGTATAACTCCATCATCATCCCTCCCTGAACTTCTTTTTCTCACAGGAAAACCCGTGGCATACGCGTATCACATATAAAAGTCATAAACTTCTTTTTCATTGGGAAACTGCGTACCAACCTTAGGAACGGAATCATCCATTCCAGCTTTATTATCCTGGACAATTGGACCTTCTTCAAAATTTGCATTTTCTGAGTCCACAATCAAAACATTATCCATGCTCCGTTCTCCTAGTAATATACAAAAAAACACTCATTACTTATGAAGAAATTTGTCATACAATTTCGGAAAAAAATAAATGTGATTATTAGGAAAAAAAATTCATATTCTGAAAAAAAGTGGACTAAAAAGTATGCCTTCTTCTCATTTTAAATTCTGAAGAAGCCACGTTGATTTCCGAATTTCTCAACGTGATTAGGAGGAACAAGAAAATCGAATTTCAATAATCCAAGGCATAACATAATTATTAGAATATGGGGTGTGTAAAAAAACATTAAAATAAGAATTACCTGAACATATAGGGATTAAATTTTCGTCCTCCATTGTTGATAACAGAACAAGCAAAGAGATGAAGAAGTCTGATAAACAAAAATATTTATTTTAAATGTTTGCTTGAGAAAATATCACAGAATTGGATTTTTTCCATTAGATAGCCGTCGTCCTGAGAAAAGATACCCATATGAATAAATTAGGGAAAAGACAAATTTTTATGTTAATCTTAGTCGTTAATGTACGTTTAATCTTGTCCGTACAAGTGACTTTGCCAATAAACTTTGTAAAGTGACTTGGTTAAAGTAGCATTATTATAATTCTTTTCTCCGAGAGAAAGTAGGTGGTCCAATAAATGAATCGTTTATTTGACTTTCTATATTTTCTAATATATAATAATATAATAATAATTACAAACATAATCAAAATTGTGACTCTAAGATAAAAACCTAAGTTGGCGGAACATAAATTTGAGTTGCAAAAAACATACTAAAAAAAGCATCACAATAACATAGGTATGCAAGCAGTTAAGTCCAATGTAATAGTTATGGAGATGGTAGCAAATGAAGAGAGGGATTTCATTGTTGGGTTCACTATACCGTACGGGGTAAACGCAGCGGAAATAAATCGAAATAAATAAGCATTTATCTAATAATGCTAAACCTCTCGGTTAAAATAACGACTGTTACGATCGGCATCTTTTAAAATCACGTAAGATTATGAATTTTGATGTGTAGAGAATTTCGAAAATTAACTTAATTTTCTTCAAATAGCGACGATAAAGAGGAAATCAATTCCCGGTTATGTGGCTATCACCGTCTTCTTACTCCTTAAGGGATCCAAGTGTCTCCCCTCTAATCGAGTCCACCCATTTGGATTCCGACTCCGAAAATAATTTCTTCGCTAGTAGAAATTTTCCGGAATTGAATCCATATAAGGAATTAAATTGAGAGGAGTTTTTTTTTTTTTTTTTTTTNTTTTTTTTTTTTTTTTTTTTTCCTTCTAAAAGGCCGAGACCATCATATGCTCATTTTTCTAAACTCATGGAATTTGGAGAACTTGTATATTTCTCTTCTTTAGTGTACATGTGATATACATATTAATATATCAAAATTTGGTGAGGTCATTACAACTTCCACCCAACATTCATTATTAATGGAGAAATTGGGTGTGTTTGGGGTGACGGAAAATCCCACTCCACCAAACAATTTTTTTTTTTATTTTAATCCTTAATCATAATTAAAGATTAACTAAAGATAATAACACATAATTTATGAAACTTACTTTCAAAATTAATTAGTCAAAATCTTATCTCCCATGTAAAATAAAATCTCCTCTTTTATCATGTAGGCTTTTAAGAGATAATCATATTAATATTTGGATTTGAATTTTAAAGTCTAACTTTAAAATCCAATTATTAATTTAGTAATTCAAATAATTACTTAATTAATATCCAAAGCCTAATTAATCAATCCAATTGATTAATTTATTTTATTCCTTTAATTGATATCTAATCAAAATTAGATTTAATTAAATAATCAAATTATTTAATTAAGTCTTGTCAATTAATTCAACTATTGAAAAATTTCAAAATTGTCATCATCCAAAATATGGTGTGACCCTTTTAGGTTCACGATTAACACTAGTAGTGGGTTTAAAACTCGTTTGTAATTTAAATTAATCTAATTAATTTATATTCTTGAAATTAACTCCTTAAGTTCAAAAACCCACAAATCATGGTAACACCTAGCAAGTAGCATGATCATCTAGTGTTAAGTGAAATAGCGAGTAAACCTTTTCAATTGCAATTGCATACATGTAAAATCCTTTCGACAACTAATTTCCCAATTAAATCTTGGGCATGAATTTATAAGTCGAAACTCAATTGATTTAATAACTATGATTCCATTTCAAGTTTAGTGATTCCTTTATGAATCCATATTTATCCCGCCTTGGCCAAGGTCTTTGAATCACAAACTATGAAAAAAATAGGAAATTCACTTTATCCACATAAGTGTCGAATTCTTTGTTGGCCACAGATAAACCTCCATACATATTAATACAGTACCCAAAATATCCCTTTTATGATTGTCCAGCAATCAAAGGATAAATCAAAGTAAAGCATAACATGCACAAGATTACTATCGTGCCTCAAGTCAGAGGATCAGTCATGTACTATTGCAACATGAAAATTCTTATTCGACAGTTAAAAACTTCCAGTTAAGAATTTTCATCGGGCCATGTTCAGTGAACTTGTTCTCCAACAAGCACCCGCATATATGCATTTCCGTCCACACACTAATATTGATGGAATGCAACATTCTAATCAGATGAGCATACATCATATGCACAAGTCTTACCGGGTTATTCGATGTCCTGTCTCGAAATACCCATCGACTTGGAACTTATTTAAGATCACAGCTTTAAAGACATGTTCCATGATTTCCATCAAATGCGCAACCATGCCTCATAGCTAATAATGATCTAAGGACTTTATCATATGTGCAAATATAGGATAAATGCAAATACATAAGATAAAGCTATGCTTCAAAATAATATAATTTCCAATAAATTGTATTTAAAAATAGAAATAGATCCAATCAGATTGGAACGCCGGGTATTCTACTCTAACATTCATGTAATGCGTTTTGTTATGGGGAAAGTTTTTAATAATTTTATGTAAAAAGGTTTCTCAGGCCAGTGTTGGTCAATATGGTGGTTCTTTCGCCATACTTCTCCGGCTCTTTAGGCCGATTGTTTCTTTTTCTTTCTGTTCTGATGGGATCCTGCAAGCTGTGCACAAACTTTTTAATATATATGTTTGTGTGTTTGTGTGTGTGTTTTTGTGTTTCAGACAAGAATGATAAGTTATCCGAGACTCGTTTAGGAGCACATAGAGCATGTAAAGGTAGTGTGTAAAAATGGACAATATAGTTGTGCGATTGGTAACGAGATTTTACTTGCAGCTCAAAGTACGGCAATCAGTCACTTACCCCCTTGCCGATGTATTTTGGAGTTGTACATGGAATATGGTTACTTTAAATAAAAAATAAAAAAAAAATTACAAAAATGAACACATAAAAAGAAAAAACTAAATTTCTTAGGCACAAATTCATCTTATTCAAATGTACTGATCCAAAATTTCTCTCGGACGAAAAAAAAAGCCCCTTTGAACAATAAAAAAATCAGATCTGGTTTTCCACCTCCTCGGTGCCTCAACTCTCTCATCCTTCTTCCGGGCAGCTGGCACCGAGGCTGCCAAACTCGGCCCCTCCCACTATGCGTCCTTCGCGTGCCATGGCTGGCGTCAAGCGGATCGGCCCTTGCTGCGGTTCCAAAGACGGATGGACGTCGGATTTCGACTGTCGTGTGCAATGCCGCGGCGACGTCGCTTTATGTCTCAAGGGCAGGTCTCCCAATTGTGTTGCGATCGATTTTCCTTGTGTTTGGGGTGGGTGGCTAGTGGTTTGTGACCATTAAGTGCTGTTTGAAGGTGGTCATTTGCACTGAAGTCTTAATCGAGGTCGAGAGTCTCAAATTTGGCTAGCCATAGCTGATTTGAAGTGTGGAGTTTCTGGACTGGTATTATTGGTTGAGTTTGGGCTCTTCTTTGTAAACTAACGTCGATTTGTTGTTTTGGGAGGTTGTAGTATAGGTACTGTTATACATTGGCCGAGGAGGGCTTTATTGTATCATTTAAGTGTGCATGGTAGCTATTTTGTTTGCTTTTTTTTCCTTTAGTNAAGCCTTAAAAACGAAAATCAAAACTTCCTTATGCTGGGATTGGATAAATTTATTTCATCATGAAGATTTTCTTCCACTGGCAACAATGAATGAAAAAAAACTCGTTCTTTCTTAATTTTTGTATGTATCTATTGGCTGCTCATAAAATTCCCAGGAACTGTAATCTTGCTTTTCTTAATTTTGTATTCTTGCAATGGCTGCTCATAGAATTTCAAGAAAATGTGATTAAAAGCTGGAAAGCTGCAAGTATTAGAGGAGCAGGAAAAAGGAGTTGGCTATAACCTATAAGTAGTCCTGCTATTTTCCCTTGTGTTGACACCCTGCAAATCAACTACTAATCCATATTGTTTTAGCTACAACTAATTCTGACGCATCTCATAAGTTTTTACATGGTACAAGCTCAAGGGTTTGTCTGTCCAACAATAGGGAAGTATAGAGTCATGAGATTTCAATTTACCAAAAATCTAGAATCCAACATTCAAGTAACAATATAAACAAGTTTATTGTTACTTTACATACTTACATTACAGTGTCTCGTTACATTTCCCAATACCTCAAGTGTTTCCAATATGTTCTCCTAAACACAAAAATGAACTCGGGATTGTCAACAAGGAAAAGGGGAAGGACAATCAATCATCAAAATAGCCATTCTAAGCAGATATTATTGTTCAAAGTACAAACATTGACTTTTAGATGCTAATTCAAAAAGAAGTTGAAAATCAATTACCAATTAGCCATCACCCCCAATATCTCAGGCACCATGAATTCACAATGCCGTGAGTAATGAATTGACCAGATAATTCAATGGATTTAAGTCGTAACATATAATCAGAGGCTAATTTCCTGACTTCTTTGCACCAGATTCTAACAGCAAAGGCTCGAGTTCCCCTTTTCTGTGCAGTTTCACAGTATCTAGCCACAAAACAACACATAATTAAATCCCATTATGCTCACATAATAAACCCCACCAGTCAATGGTATATATGTTGATGCTTTTCAAAATTGTACGCAGTAGTCAAAAATTAAATCAGTGAAAACCCCGTTGCCTTTCCGGTAACTTTTATTTCAGCAACGTTATTTAATTCCCTAAATTATTCTCTATTAACACGAGGAAAAAAAATTGTTAACATTTCAGGTTTGGTCACAGTAACTCTAGCAGCAAGATAACTACAGTAAAGCGCACCTGTACAACCGCCAATATGCTTGCCTCCTGTCACATAATTTCAATTATTAGTTTGGACAGTAGAGAAAGAAGGTTGAGATTCTAACAGTTTTTTATTGGCAAACCCTTAGTGTTGACTTCAAGTTGTATAATTGTTACATCAATAAGAATTTGTTCTTACCTATGAAAACATTAGGAACAGTATGTTGTCCAGTAAGCCTTTCCAAAGTCTTCTGCAGTTGTGGTCCTTGAGGACCTGAATGACAATGAGAGAAATTTCAATTTAAGATTCAAGTGAGGTGAGGGAATATTTTAAAATATTTTCATATCTTTTAGAAAAGATTCTTACTTCTTACTACTCAATGGCATAGCCTGAAACATGTACACCAATGCTTAACTATTTTACGTCTTTCAAGTTTCAACTCAAGATGGAATACATCAAAACTCATAATGTTTCAACTCAAGATAGAACACATCAAAACTAAAAAAAAAAAAGAGTTATATGGATGATTTAAGAGCCCCATCTCGCAAACCCCAAAAATTTTAATGATTTTAGGTTAGATTGTAGGAGATGATATTGGAAAATGATTATAGCAGTACAATCACTTATGTTGAGTTGATTTCAAACATTACATATTCCAAATGATCAAGCATCTTATAAGAAAACAATAACCAAGAAACAAATCATAAAAACAATAAAATCATCTAGAAACCCGTTACTTCATGTGATATGTGAATGGGAGAATTTAGGTTTGTGGCAAATGATTTCAAATCAATCCAAAAGGCATGAATTTGAAATCCCTCCAAATGATTCCAAAGAGGATTTGAAACCGCCACAGAGTAACTTCGTCCAAGAAGTCTCAAACGATTTGTTAGTTATGGAATTGAAATTCATAATTTCAATTCGTGATAATCCAAGAGATTAACAACGAAAATAAACAAACCAAACACACACACACACAGAATCATACCTAATTGGTCCAATTCGATAACAATTGGTTCCACACCAAGCCTCTTAAACAATGATTTTACCTCCAAACAGTACCTAACACAACAAAATCACAAATGCATTTCACATCAGACAATATGAAAAAACAACTTATAACCTTATTTAGAAGAGAACAGGCATGAACAATAACTTGAAAAAAATAAAACTGCTGAGCTGGGCACTTACGAGCACCAAGATTTGGAATAAACAACAACCGGATTTTCACCAACCGTCTTCTTCACAGTCTCCTCCATTCGGGATCCGAATGACGCTGAACACGTGATCTGACCCGCATTTTTCAGCCCAAATCTTCGAGATGATGAGATGCTGCTGAAATTGCTAGCTGATGTGAGATTTGGAGAGGGAGAAACATATTGGATTGCTGTGCGAGGAACATAAGAAGAAATCAAAGGGAGGTCGAAGCTTCTATTCGAGAGGCAGCTTGATGAGGCGACCATTAACGCCATCATTGAACAAACTGTTGCTATTGTGCTGTGTTTCGCCAATCGGTTCTAAACTCAGCCCTTTCCACGCCTTTTTTT